TTTGTGTACGTTGTGGAAACATTCCATATGTCAATATCACCTAACCATTGTTTATCAAAATAAAGTAATAATTGTTCCATTTGTGGATTTGATAATTGTTGAATATCATTTCGAATTTCATCATACCCAAATGAAACTGTTTCGGACGGCATTAATGCCAAAGCCATTATCTTCCTACAGATACTACGAATCAGTTCGTTGTTCGAATATTCTCGTTGTAATCCTAATTGTTGTATGTGTTTGAAAATTGCTTGATTGAAGTGAAAACTGCAGCCATAATGTTTTGCAGCTGGAAACTAGAAAAGCAAACAATTATTGACTAGAAAACATATTTGGATCCGGTAAAAAATAGTGTTTACTTCGGTTTTAAGAATTGGTAAAATTCCAGATTCAAAATCCGTAATAATTAAACTAGGTGAAAATGATTTTTGAACTTCGAAAACTATTTGTCGCAGTTCAGAAAATAATTGTCGATATGTACTGCTTTTTTTGTTTACCGTTAGTGCATACACGCATGGAACACCTGAAATTAAAACAACGAATTTTTTTCAAAAGATAATGTTTTTTTTTACATATATCAAAATGTACTGCATGGATGATGTAAAGTTGAGTAAAATGAGGGGGAGTTTTTGAAAACGTCCCATCCATGTAGATAGTTGGAGAATTAAACAAAATATCAAGTTGAAGATCACTGGCGTAAACAAGAAGTCGTTCACGTCGAACGCGTGATTCATCAAGTAACAGAAAACGTTGTCCGTCCAATGTTAGTTTGTCAGAAGCAGGAATTGTAAATAGACACGATGAAGGTAATTGAGGCACAATTTTTTGACGAATTTTAGCAACAGTTTGATCTAAAAACAAGAGTAACAAAATCATTAATTAAGACACGCTTACAAACACTTATAAATTTCATGATTTGTGGGAAAATTCGCCAAAGCAGATGTGCTAAGTGATGCTTTTGCAAGTTCTTCCTCATATATCAAATTAATAGGTGTTAATTCATTGATTACCCGATTTTTCATTTTTTCACGAAGATTTTTAGTTTCAATTAAATCCAAGCTTGATTCGTGATCATGATCTCCTTTATGGCCACATAAATAATTGTCGTTTTCATCTGTTTGTGCACGAAATGTACATCCTTGTTTCATACATACCCAATATTTCTTTCTCCTGTATTCTTATTGCATCGATAAATATAACCATTGATCACCAGTAAACGTTGACCTTTGTTCGATGTAATAAAACAGATATTTTTAGCTGGACTTGCAGGTGAATTTAATTCGATCGACATGGTGTATTAGACAAAATGTAACTGGTGAATGTTTTCTTAAAGCTATTTGTGTAATATATATATATCTACAACGCCCCTCGTTGACAAAGACTGTTATCCAGGGAGAAAGTGAATACGATATATATATATATATATATCATTTTACTTCTCTTTAACAACGATTATTATCAAGGGATAAAGTTAAATGCAATATATGTTTTAATACTTTTCTTTAACAAGGGTTGTTATCAAGGAGTAAAATGAACGAATGACGTAATCCACCAATAACAATAACTTCAAAATAAATGTGTCATACAAACTGGCTACCAGTGTTATCTTTCATTAAGTTATCAAATGTTCTTTCTATATTGCTTTTCAATAATCACAAACGTGAGAAATATAATAAAACGCACGCCTCGATGCTTTTATTATTTAAAATCGGAACGATTCGATATTTCTGTCCTTCGACATGTTTACCTTTTGATATTTTTATCTTTCGATATTTTTACCCAGCGATATTTTTTTCTTTTGACATTTTTACCTTTGGATATTTTTACCTTTGGATATTTTTACCTTTCGGTGTTAAAAAATTCGAAATTTAAGTTTCGGTATTTTTACTTTCGCTATTTCAAGCTTTTGACATTTTTATCATTCTGCATTTTTATATTTCGACATTTTACTTTCGACATTTTTACTTTCGATCAAAGTAGGGTGAATCGAGATTTCGAACAAAGTGGATGAAGTAAACTTCGCTCGGTTCTTTATTGATTTCTGTAATTTTGACCTTTAGATGCCAATGGAAATTAATGATAATATTGTACACACGTTCTCTAAGGAGACTCAAACAGATTTTTCACTGCAATCAGTTTCTATTGATGTAAAGCAAACTGGGTATTCACATCGGTGATTATTCATCTTGTATCTCTTCTACTTTTTTATTAAAATGACTGTTTTTATCAGATCTTGTATTGTCTGTCAAGCGGCTGATGTTTTTCCAATGAAAGTGTTATCTGATGATCAAAGAAAAATGATTTTCATCAAACGAGGAATTATTATACAAAAGGGCAGTCGTTGCTGTTGTTGTCATATGCTCAATGATCATTTAAACTACGAAAATTTTTGGACAATTGAAGCTTCATTGTCCGATTGCTTGACACTCAACTTCAAAGAAGTCACGGATCTACTTGATGACTTTTGTTCTACTATTCAAGTGTCAAAATCATTCAATTTTGATGATCCGAGCTGCCTAAATGACGAAGCATATTACAATATAACAGCATTAAAGAAAGGTACTTGAACTTGTATATGTCTATTCATCAGACTGATGTAACATTAATTGCTCGGATTTTTTATTCTCTACAGAGAAAGAACGACTGTGGAGAATAATTCATTTTCTTGGAGAAACAGTTACAGATATTATGTGAAAGTACTATATAGGTTAGTGTGTTATATATGTAAAATGAAAAAACGTTTGAAAGAAGTACTTTTCTTTCACCAAAGACTTATCTAAGCTATTCTTGTTGATCCAATTACATCCAGTATAATCCTTCAATCCGTTGATGGTCACATGTATATAGCATGTTAGCTTTAGATTCTAATCAATCTAGTATAATCAAGTCATCTTCATTGAATACTTAAAAACCACACATATGCACATGAACATATTGGTCGTGTAAAGTGATTTCATAAAAAACACATTTCTCTTTGGAAAAGACGTTTTTCGTGTTAATTTCAAAGAATAAATTTCACAATATCCATATGTCAACATTTCCAAGTACTTTTCACGAACTCTATATTTGAATATGTTCTCATTTTTAAACATGTTTCTAGAATGCTTGAAGTTTTACTTTCCGTACAACAAATATTTTTAAAGCATGCTGTGAAACTTGGAAATGTAAAATGTACGAATTCTTATCATCGAATGAATTTTACAGCGAAAGCTCGAAAAATATTTTTTTTACACAATAGTCTAACAACTTTTGGAAAGAGATGGTGTCACTCAAAAACACTTCAACTTGTGGATATCTTGCTTTAATCAATTTCGTTTCGTATGTACAAGAGTTCTCAAAATACAACCGGTATCCTTCACTGAAATAAGAATTCGCACCTTATGTAGTTGTATCTAGCATGATTTATCTAGAAGCTGACGAACAAAACGTATTTGCTATGAAAAATAATAAACAAAACATTCGAGGGAGTTAAGCATTGCCTCACACCTTAAAGAACATAAAACTAAATAAAAAACACCTGTAATTTAAAAAATCAAACCTCTGAAAAAATGACATATATTTTAATATTTGAATAAATCACGTATCACAGTTGAGTTAACGAATTAAAAATAATTGTCGTTGACGAAAGATCTATTTCACTTTGTAACATGACTTTCGTGGTATAGCTAATAAGCACATTATTTGAAACGGTACAGGAGTTGAAGAATTCAGCAAGCAGGAAAGAAATAGGAGACATACGTGTGATTGATAAGAGTACGCGAGTATGTAATTGCACTTGGGATAGTTAATTCTTGTAAATTATTTAGAAAATGTCACTGTCATTGTATTTTTTTAAATAGTTGATTTCGAAGATCTATTTGGCTTTTTTGACATCAATGCGAGATTCGTTTGTTCGTTGTGTGCGAGTGGCTCTAGCAGTCTTTCTTTGCAAGATGCGTCTTGGTCTTGCAAATAGTGTACTTGCTTCAATATTTCATCTTAAAGATAAACGCTTCGTCTCTCATGTTATTCACTCTGTGCAAAAAGCATTAATTGACAACTTTGTGCCAAAGCACATAAGTTTTCAGCACATTGATCGCCAAATGGTGATCAATCAGCATTCATCTGCCGCTGCTACTGCTTTACTTACTGATTCACAAAATAATGTAGCTGTTGTCATAGATGGAACATATTTATATGTGCAAAAATCGAATGATAATGAATTCCAACGACGTTCATATTCTTTGCATAAATATCGTCATCTATTGAAGGTGATTTGATTCTAATGAACGTTTGCAAACGAAGAACTCAAAGAACTACTTTCGATTTAAGCATTCACTAAAACCAAAAGCTTTGGTTTGAGGTTTTGGTTTTGATGGTTTTGGTTCTGGTATACTTTTGATTTTGAAGGTTTTAGCTTTAGCATAGATTTTGGTTTTGGTGGTATTAGTCTTTTTTTTGAGATACTTCGAAAAAGATTATATTTCAAAATCAAAATCAAAATCAAAACAAAAACAAAAATAAAAATCAATATGATTATAACCAAAACCTTCAAAAACGGTTTTGGTTTGGTGCATGCCTATCTGGATAGTCTCAAGGTTTTAAAAGAATTTAGAAAGGTTTTACTCAAGATCTTACTATTTTTCTTGGTAACTCTTAACTTTTCCATGAAAAATCATACTCTATACAGAGAATGCAGGAGTTACCTGCATATCTGACTTGAATTCCTTTCGGAGATCTTTGTTTATGAAGGTTCATTAAAAAGCGTTTTATAAGTTTATCTCATTGCAGCCTATGATCATTACAAGTACCGACGGTTATATATTGAGCGTTTTGGGTTCTTTTCTGGCAGATTCGAAAAACAACGACGCCTCGATCATTAACCATTGTCTCTTCGAAAACCAGGAAGGGATTCTCAATTGGTTAACTGATGATGATGTAATTATTCTAGATAGAGGATTTCGTGATGCAATTAAACCAATGAAAACTCTTGGTTTTCTGCCAGTAGTACCTGACTTTATAGCAGGAGGCAAAACACAATTGGATGTTACAGAAGGAAACCGTACTCGATATATTACCAAAGTGAGATGGGTGGTCGAAAGCGGTGCGTATTTTATACTTTCATTTGCTTTAACAAATCTCTTTTTTATCAGCCAACCGGAAAATTAAATAATGGCGATTTTTTTCACAAACTATTCCAAACTCCTCCATCAAAATGCTTCCTGATCTTGTCAAAATTGTGTGTGCACTTAGTGAGTCCTTTCTTTACGAAATCATTCATTGATTTGTCTGCTTTCGTAAACAAATATCGTTGTCCAGCAATTAAAACTATTTTCTCAGGTAGTGAGATGGCTGAAGAAATGCTTAAACTTCTCCACTCAGAAAATGAATTACAAAAGTATTTACAAGATCTTGAAGAGAAAAGTTGTATTAAATGGAAGAAGTTTGATGCTCAACATTGTCCGTTTCCTATTCTTACTGAAAACGATGTACGAAACATAACTTTTGGTACAGAAACAATCTTTTTTGTTTCCGCATCATTTTTTATTTATTTTTATATAAGGAGTATTCCAAGTGAAGATGGCGAAGAGCTACATAAAGGAGCATTTAAAACCATCTATATTGAACGAAGAAGAGATCATGTTTGAAGTTCAAGCTGATATGCATTATCCTGATCTTATTCGTGTTCAATTTCAATCACGACACTCTAAAATGAAGAAATATTATGCTACCGTTCGTTTCGACAGCGAGCAGCAAACAGTGAAAGAATGGTACTATACTTGTCCAACAGGACTACGAAAACTCGGTTGCTGTACTCATATTTCTGCTTTATTGCCGCATCTTGGAGTTAATCGTGCACAAATTCCTGATTCACATCCTCTTTCAGCAAGTCATCTTATCGAATATGTGGAAAATACTTAGGGCATACCAAAAGTTCAGGCAGTGACACTTTAATACCCTATAGTACACTTAAAGAAACTTTCTTTCTATATAGTCTGATAGAGAAAAGAAAGCTCTATCTTTCTATGCTATTTGATCGTACTTCGACTAATATCCTAATAATAAACTTTCGATAAAACGTTTTTCGTTGGAATATGTGCTGGTTGTACAGGATTGCCAAAAATGTTTTTTCATAGAGGTACAGCTTCAACAACAAATGATATCAACATTCAATTTTATACCAAATGAAAGCCCGTCAAAAATAGGATTTAGGAATATAACTCGTCATTCTTAAGATAAGAATGGGCTATAGAATTATAGCAAGTTTCAAGTGGTTGGACACTCACGTCGGTGGGTAGTCAATCACAAAAACAGAAATTTCTCAGAAATTTTTTTGTCTATCAGGCTTTGTAGAGCTCTCTTTGCTCATCATTTTGCTAAAAAAAGTTTTTAAATTTGATCAATAAATAACGGTACTAAGGTCAAAATACTCAAAAATATCTTAGCCATATCAACCAGAGGATTTTGAAATTTCCAGTATTTTGACCCTAGCGCCGTTATTTATTGATCCAGTTCAAAAGATTTTTTTACCAAAATGATCAGCAAAGAGAGCTCTACATAGTTCGACAGACAAAAAAGATTTCTAATCCTTTGATGGAAAAAGATTTTTGGAAACCCTGTACAACCAGCCGAAATAGGTTTTATAGATAATTTAATATTATGATATTAATTGAAGTATGATCAAATAGTATAGAAAGATAGAGCTCTTTTTTCTCTATCATCCTATATTGAAGAAAAATTATTTAAGCCTACTAAACAATATTACACTGTCATTGCCCGAACTTTTGGTATGCCCTAAGTAGTAACACATATTCAAAATTCGAAGAATCAGATGACAATGATAATGATGTTTTATATACACTTGGTAGAGACGACGGTTTGGAGTATCACAACCCATAAAATACTACAAACATAGCGTATTTTGTTTTGGTTCTTAAACGTTTTACTGTCATTTGGTGTATTGTTGTTATCTTCTCAAGAAAAAAAGGAACTTTATGCATATGAACATAACATTGTCTGTTTTTGCTGATGGACAACAGACTATCGTAAGTTTTGATAACGAAGATTCATTTATTGTCAAGGAATTTTTACGAAAAAGAGAACTGACGTTTCACACAAGAAAATGAAAAGAATAGTGGATGTAACTTATGTTGATAATAATGTCAATTGAACCAATATATCTATGATAAGTTTCTATTATATGAGTATTTTAGTTATTTTTGTCGTATGTGTCAGCAATATATGTGAGCGCATCACTAAAGTCCTATTCGGAAATGCCCAAAATTAGTACCATTTTGCAGCACTTTTTGAGCTCTATCGAATGGTATAAAACTCAAAGTGTTGTAGATTTAAAATAGTAATGCAAAAGGCCGTAAACCGTTAGCAGGGTCATCAAAGATACCTACTAAGAACTTATATATGTCATTAAAAAGCCACTAAGAAAAAACAAAATTCTAATCATTCTTATATGGACTCATGTGGTTTACTAAGCTCTTTCTAATGATATATGAATGGTCTTAAACATCAAACAAAAACGAATGTGATTCAATAAATACCGTCTAAACAGAAACTATCTAAAAATGGGGGTTTTGTATGACCTTAAATCGCTTAGAATGATATATAAAACTTTGTCCATAATATTTAAATTATCATAAAAACACTAAATCTATGTTCTTACATAGTGTTCAATATGTTTCAGTTGAATATTTAGAGTGGGCCGATTTACGTTCTTATACGCCCCTGCCCTTTATTATTTATATAAAATAAATTCATTTCTATTTCTTCTTTTTAACAGGGTGAGGCATCGAATTTATAAATTTATAATTTATATAAAATAAATCTATTTCTATTTCTATTTCTTCTTTTTAACAGGGGTGAGGCATCGAATTTATAAATTTATAATTTATATAAAATAAATCTATTTCTATTTCTATTTCTACTTTTTAACAGGGGTGAGCCATCAAATTTATAAATTTATAAATTATATAAAAGAAATCCATTTCTTTTTCTATTTCTACTTTTTGTCAGGAGTGAGGCATCGAATTTATAAATTTATAAATTAGTTGGAGATCATTGTGTGTTTTATTTTGTTTGTGTTACGAGGTATAGGTGTTAGCGTCAATAGAGGTCACTCTATTACCGCTAACTGTACAGTTGTTATATAGTGATTTTCCCCCTTCTTCTCTATGGTCCATATATATATTTCCATTGGACCTTCCATTGTTTATCTATATATTTGTTTTTCTCTCTTCAGTTGTTGTATTTTTTCCCCAGTGGTGGTTGTTTTTCTCTCCCCGGTGATATTGTTCATCTTTTTCCCTTACTATTATTTCCCGTCTTTATATTATTATTATATTTCTTGTGGTATCATTTATATTAATAAAACCACATTTCTTTAACTTCCTGATCTCCTTATCAATATAACAAACTCCAGTAAGCATGATTTACTTTATTTTACGTGAGAACCTTCGTTCCCGTTGCAGACCGGGATTAAATATACTGACCATCTGGCCTTAGCCTATAGTGTGGGGCAAGAGTCATAAATTTCACAAAACGAGAGTCTCACAATAGGTAGCGCGGAAAAGGTTTCTTTTTCTTTTTAGGTGTCAAAACATGGAAGTCTTTTTTTTCTTATTTATATTCGAACTCGAACTAGGCAGCTACTCGTAGGTTGTTCCTGTCGCAAATGAAAAAAATAAAAGTGTTCCGAAATGATTATTTTCTAGCACGCTCGACGCAAATTTTCATACTGATTCCGAATGTGGTATTTATTTTGCATTCTAATTGAGTTTTTGTGCAAAAAATGGCAATTCAGGGGTCGAATTTAGCCTGATCGTTAATGATTTAGTAAATGCTGCATGTCTCAGCCGAAGAACAAAATTTCTTAAAACCCATACGTACTTTTTTCCTTGTCGAATGACGATTCAATTGGTGTATAAACATTTAGAAAATTTTTTCAAACAAAAGAATAAATAGATTTACAACAGATGAGTGTCTATGAGTCACTTTTTCATCTTACTTGATCTCATGAAAAATTCCGGCGATGTTGAAATTCGTTTGAGGCTACATCTTAACACTCAGTTTGAGATGCTGAATCCGCACAAAGCAGGTTTGAAAGCCTATATTTAGTGGAAAGGGCAAAACTTCACGTTTTCTTCCAAAACAATGATTTTTTTCCCTTTTCAATTTTTTATAGTATTTTCAAGGCTTGAGATCCAAAACTTGATCAAAACACAATAAAATATACATATTCGGAATTAGCTCGACGAGTTCTATTAAACGATGTGAAAAACAAAAAAGCGTTTTTTTTTGCTTAGGTTTTGCCTAGGGGTGGCACTTTAACTTTACAAACACTTTAAAAAAGTATTAAAGTTTAAAGTGTTTTATTTAAGTACTTTAAACTTTAAACTTTAATTAAAGTAAAAATTTTAACACTTTAACTTAAAAAAAGTTAAAGTGAAAGTGCTTGTACCATGGGTAAGAAACAACCATGCTGAGTTCTTGGGTCCTCGTCTAGCTACCCTAGCGGGGGTACTTGGGTCCTCATATGGCTATCCTAGTGGGGATACTTATGTCGTCAAGTGCTATACTATAAGGATAGCTTTAGGTCTCAAGGCCTTATACTGTGAGATTACCCTTAGGTCTTCAAGGCCTACAGCATACCCTATAGTATAGGCCCTGAGAGCCTAAAGTTACTCCCGTAGTATAGCTCTTGAGGACCTAAAGGTACCTTCATAGTATGGCACTTGAGGACCTAAGGGTACTCTCACAGTATAAGGCCTTGAGGACCCAAGGGTTTCCCCATAGTATAGGCCTTGAGAACTTAAGGAGGGTGTGGGGTGTGGGTGTGGGTGTGTTGGTATGGATGTGGGTGAGTCTGGGTGTGAGTGTGGAAGAAATGAATACCATCGCTTACATCCACGCCCAATCCACATCCTCCTTTCTTTTCATATCTTGACAAGATCAACAAGTTTTCAGAACTGACATCGACACCGACTCGACCACTTTTCACAGCCTCTTCTCCTCAGACAACATTGGCATGCCACTGATTCCGTCATTTTTGAAGGGCAAGACTTCTGCTTATCTCAATGGCATATTAAGTAAGCTGTTCACTCGTAACAGCCGAATCTCGCGAACCGAGGACGTAATTCTCACGAACACAACTACCAGATCAATTAGTAACGGTACCGTGAAAGGTAATGAGGAAATCAACAAGTGGAAGGCAGAATTGCTTCGTCTCTTCATCACTCTATCGGAATTGAAGAGCCTTAAACCATCTGAGCCTGTTAACAGACTGTTTGAAAGCTTGATAGAGCTTGTGAAAAGCCAACGAATGGACGCGTCGTATGTTGCCGACTTTCTTCACCATGATCGGGACATCCAATTTATTCAAGCTCGCCTGATGGACCTTTGTAGAATCGGCGAGTTTGAGCTGGAGCTCCAATGGGCGCAAGAAGTCTTTGGTAAATCGCGGAAGCAAGCCGAAGACCATTTGCTTCGATTTCCATATTATGGGAATTACTTCCAACTGGCGCAGATGGAATATCATCTCGCCTGTGCTTTCGGCGCTGATCCTCGTCGTATTCTCTTCCTTGGTTCGGGTCCACTGCCTTTGACCTCGCTAATCTGGGTTCAGCAAATGCCCATGTCCAAGGAGAATTCGTACGTTGTCAACGTTGATATCCATGCAAAAGCAATCGATTGCTCGCGCCGATTGATCCACAGCGTCGTTGATCAGAAGATACATCATTGTTTCCATTTCCTGCAGAGCAATGCAGCAGATTTGACAAGAGACGCATTCATCAGGATCGACCTGGTTATAGTGGCGGCGCTCCTTGGTCCCAGTCCCGCAGAGAAGTGCAAGATCATCGCCAATGCAGTACGAAACGCCGACAACGGTACGCGGTTCCTCGTGAGAACCGTCGATGGAGTAAGAACGCTTCTCTACCCAGCAGTACCAGAATCGAGCCTACAGTGTATTCCGGAGCTCGAGATCGAGGCTGTGTTGCATCCGCGAAACGATGTTATCAATAGCGTTATCCTCGCTCGGAAAGTGGGCCACAGTATGTGATATAGTGGACTTATATTGACTTCTGCTTCGACCGTTTAAGACAGACAAGAGTCACACACGCAAACACAGAACTGAACTCTACACACACGCAAGCACAGTCTACACTTTTACCGTTGACCGTCTGAACGGTGAACGTGCACCAGATGTAATAAAATGTTTGCAATATCCTTTATTTTGATATATTCCATTCCAAAATAAATTATGAAATCTTAAGTCTTTGTAAAAAGGTGCACAATTTAATGCTCTGTCAGAATTGCAAGATCAAAACGCTTCAGCTTTTTTTTTTGCAAAATTTTTTGAGACGACTAAAAGTAAACATGTATGTAATATTGCTATTTCCCATGAGAAAAAAAATTCAAAATCACAAGGTTAGTTGCAACTAACGTTCAGTCATAGCTGGAAATAACGTTATATGAATACATTGGTCTAATCAATGCAAAAAATTAACAAATTGAGAACTCTGTCAATGGCTGATCCAAAATCCTTATTGATTGTTCTTTAACTTTTTCTTTTTATCTTGAATGAAAGCCATTTTTACCAAGGGGGAAAAAGCTGACTCTGAGGCCTTGGAGTCACATGGAGTCAGTTGGAGTCAGTCAGCGCCGACAGATATATTTCCTCGGAATCATCTTTCATAAGATCTTCGAATGGTCGGGAGTGCATTTTTTTATCGAGAATGTGTTTTCCACGAAGTGGACAGTTTTATAGTTACAGTAAAAAAATGCATGTTTTCTCTATCAAGCTTCAGCATAGTGTCCTTGAAACGACATATACTCGAAGTCCATAGAATCGTATAGCAGCCCATGTTTTTTCATATGGCATACAAGAAATTTCTATTGTGTGAGTTGATTAAAAGCACACTCGGAGTAGTTTCAAGTGTTTTGTCACAATCTGTTTGAGGTATTTTCCAACATTTTCTGTACAATTTCAATGTATCTTTCCGATATTCGAAGTCAATTTCACATATATCAGTCGTCACAAACTGATTGCACACTTTTTATTTTACTACAACGCACGTCAAAAGTCTCGCTCCACTTTTTTCTTTTGAGCCGTGTATTAAAAGTATCCAATATAATTAAAATTTTTTTATCACTAGAAAGTAGAGATCGAGTACTATATGTATAGATCTGTTTAAAAAATAAAACTCTTGAATATAAAATCAAATAAAATAAAACAAACTTTTCTACGACAAAAAAATGACATGAAAAACTACAAAATCAGGTTGTTTTACAATTTTTAGTCGTTCAAGCGCACAAATTAAGCTGATCATTAGATCTTATCAACCATTCAGCACTTGTTTCCATGGAAACACCCTAATTATAATTACAGCACCACCTATCATTAATAATCACTTAAATTCACAATATGTTTGATTACCATTCGATAGTAAATAACGGTCTATAATTTGTTTGTTCTCTTCGCATATGATTTGAGAAAAAAGCCATTGAACTCGATCGAATTTGTTTTTTTTTTGATTAACTTGTTGATGAATATTCCTATATGAATAATTTATCTCGATATTATGATGCTTCATTCAAGCAACGTGTTATTGAATATTATTTACAAAATCAACCAAACGTTAGTTTCCGTTCTGTAGCCAAATTTTTTCATATTCATGGTGGTCATGCAACAGTAAAGCGGTGGTTTGGTAGGTATGATGGAACAATTTTATCATTACAACAACAGAAGCGTTCGGGAAGACCGTCAATATTGAATCAAGAACAAATTGATCAATTTATTACACGAGTTGTTCGTTCTCATAATCGTATGTCATGTTCCATTAATTATAGTAAAATCACAAATTTGATTCGTCAAAAAAGAAAATCGAATATTTCTATTCGAATAGTTCAACGTTATGGGAAGAAGAATGGTATCAAACCAAAGAAAACGATCAAGCATACTGCTAAAGAAAGTTAGTATAGATAAATATACATGTTAAACCTCAGTCACCATCCCTTACTATTTTATTACTTGTTTTTGCTTATAGTAAGCGATGCTTCTTGTGAAAGCGTAGCAAAATTACGTCGTAAACTTCAACGAATATCAAATAAAAAAATAATCTTTCTTGATGAAACTCACATTAAAATAAATGAAGTACCAAGAACAACACTCGTTGCACCAGGTGAAAAACCATATGTAATTGTTACCGATTCATCATCATATGCTGCTCGTTATGATATGATTGCGGCTGTAGTTGGTGATCAAGTGCTTCCATCAATTATTTATTCACCAACAGATAGAAAGACAAAAAATGTCAAAGGCATCAACAGCAATATGTTGATTGATTTCATCGAAAATATCTTATACCCTTCAATCAGTACACTTGATCATTGTCCTATATATTTTGTATTAGATAAATCACATATTCATAACATCTCTAAAATTAAAGAAGCACTTGATAATTTCGAATGCACGAAATCAGTAGAAATATTGATTATACCTACTCAAGCAGCAAAACGCATCAATCCACTGGACAATGCCTTGTTTCATGAATGGAAAGAACGAGTGAGACAACATTCCTTACTTACTAAAGAAACTTTGGCGACAACTATGACGAATGAGTGGTTTAATACAAGAAAAGACAACATTAAACATTATTATGATCATTGTGGTATTACATATGGCCAAGATGTATATAAAGATTGTCCATTTCCATTAAATCATCATCATCATTCTTCATAAACTAATAAAAACAAACCTGATTTTGCAGTTTTTCATGCCATTTTTTTTCGTCGTAGAAAAGTTTGTTTTATTTTATTTGATTTTATATTCAAGAGTTTTATTTTTTAAACAGATGTATACATATAGTACTCGATCTCTACTTTCTAGTGATAAAAAAAAATTTTAATTATATTGGATAGTTTTAATACACGGCTCAAAAGAAAAAAGTGGTGCCAGACTTTTGACGTGCACTGTAATATTTCAGCATAGATAAATGATTTAACCTCAAATGTTTTTCTAAAATATGTACCCTCAAATGCTTTACTAAATCTGATGAAAAACCTCTTTCATTTATTTCGATAATTGGTTTTAGCTGCTTAAAAGTTAAGGTCAGCATGCTATTGCTATTTTCCAAGACCTTTGTGGCAACAGAAACGGTTCCATTATTTTCACAAGTTGTTTCTGTATTCAGATAAAGCTTACACAACATGATGATACGTTTTCAGGATGTGGATGTGTGTGGTCTGGGCGTGGATGTGGATGAACTACAGGCTCACAACTACACCCTTTCGTGATTTTCTTTTGACAACCTAGGTCTCGAATATCTTTGAATTCAATAAACAAATAAAAGACCATTTTCTTTTTCTCGATCAATTAAAGTACTTTGCATNTATCTAAGATAAATATAGTACCTTATTTGAACATGTTTAAAAAAATTGTGTTGGTCGATTTGGAAAAATTTATCTCAACATTCTCATTTGTATATCTTTATTATTACAATATGAGATCTCATCTAATCATACATCATTTGAAAGGGCGTCAAGAGTACTCAAACTTTATATAAATACCTTTGGTCTGAGATCACTTTTTGTTTGCGTATGTATTAATTTTTTGTCAAGCCTCAAAACTTATGAAACACCCTGTATGATTTGTCTCCGCCCAGTATCTAAGTCTATTAAGTATTAGTTTTTCGAAAAGTTTCGAATGTGTTGCAAGTAAGGAAATTGGTCGGATTTCATCGCACTTTGGAACACCTGCTTTTAATTTATTTAGAGTTACTATTTTTGCTAATTTCCATTCGTCAGGATATCTGCATTCGTTTAACCACTGGTTAAAACAATTAACCAGGCATTCAATATAGCTGGGAGAAAGTCTCTTGATCATGTAATTCGAAACCTGATCAAAACCTGTTGATTGTTTTGGTTTAAGAGAGCGAATCAATCGCCTAATCTCGTCAATACTTGTTTTCTCCATTTTTTCGCTAGAATTTGATAATATTCTCAATATTTCATTGTATTCACTGTCGATTTTTACTTCATTTGCATCTGAATAATCAATCAAGGGTGTCTTGAACTGTTCGCTATAATGCTTATATAACTCATTCGTAATTTCGTCGTGATCAGATAGTATTTTATTGCTGCTCAGTAATCTATAAAATGGTAATGTGCATGCTTTATAAATACGAGACAAATAGGTCCAAAACATTTGATTCTTCTTATCGTCGTGTGCCTGTTGAATTGATACTAAAAAATCTTGCCATTTAGTCACTTTATATTTCCCTATCTCATTTTTTATTTCTCTTGACATGACCCGAAGAAGTACTCTTACTTCTTCACATAAAATGCCTCTTTGGCGTAAATGATAATATTTATTTCTTATTTTTCTTACTTCCTTTAATTTCTCGATTATATGATAAGGTAATGTTGGTCTGTATTTCTCTTTTTGCTTCCATTTCGTTAATCTGTTTTTAACAGCTGCTATGAAACGCACGTACTGACAATACCATTCATCTCCTGTTGTTTTCTTCTGTTCTTCTATCCAGAATGTTTGAAGTAGAACTAAAATAGCCTCAAAGGCTCTCCAGTTTGTATGAGAGAAAGTACTTTTCATATCGAAAAAAATATTTTCACATATCAGAACAATAGGCCAGTGATCACTAGTGCCGTAGTGCAATGTTTCACATGAAATAGTTGTCATATTTTAGAAGGATAAATCTGTATATTGCGCAATGAGCACTTTGATGAATGTGATGTCGACGGAATGTATTTGAGGTTATTCTCTTCAATCCAATCTTTAAGTAATAGTCCTCTCTTATCTGTCACAGGACTGTTCCATTCTCTCACTCTGTTGCATTAAAATCACCAGTGATGATACGTAGTGGCTCCGAGAGTCCTGTAATATCAATAACTACTGCATTTGGTATATCTGTCTCGATGTGTGATGCCTTTAGATGTTTTCCTACTGCTATACAAACACCACCACTGTGATTAGTACCCTTTTGATAAAATATGTTGAAATGTGGTAGTTTATTTGTGTTCCATAGCTCACCCACTTCAGTGAATATACAGATGGAAGCTTCCATTTTGTATACTAATTCAATAACTTCAAGTGCTCGTGTACCCCACCCTTCGACATTATAGCATATCAGTTTTAGAGGTACATTGATGCTGCTATGTATAATTTTACTATTATTTTCCCATTGATTTAGTACTGAATTCAAGGATAAATTGGAATACCACTCATTTAAGACCTCAAACACTAATCTTTGATCATTCGTTGAAAAATTCCATTGTCTTAACTGATGCAACGCTTGTTCTACTGGGTTATCGAAATGTGCATTTTTAGAGAGAAAAGGATGCGCGTGCGGATTAAGCGTAGTATTAAAAATACTTATGATTGTTTCACGTTTAATGCCTTGCCACTATTTATTTCTTCAGCTGCTGCTGATGATGTATTTTGCATAGGCGGTGATTCTGCACGCTTACGTCTTATTTCATAGTCATGTCATAAATTAGTTTTCAATTCAGCCAATTTATCAAAGACATATTGTAGGCCTGATGTAGAATTCAGCAATACCGGATTAACTTCTTTCGTCACCGGCCAGATACTATGTTGAATGAGTAGACGAACATGTTCTATCAATTTCACTATTGTAGTTTGGTGTAGTTCAGTATCTAGAGCTGTCTAATTCAATTTGAAATCGATCTTTTCGAGTTTTTCTTCTATTCTTCTATTACTGTCACGCATAGCTACCAGATTTTCATTTATTAGAAGAAGTGCTTTTGAACCGAGCGAATCATCGGTACGCACTTCTGTTTGTATCTGATTCCATGTTGCTTGTCGAGGTTTATTTAATTCTAACACTGTGGAAAATCTTGATCTTTCATACTAAAAGCATGTTGTTGTTTTGTGTAATCATTTCGATGTAGTTTGCCGGATTCCAAAGCTTTGTTTACATCTTCTTTTAGATCCGATCGATATTGTTCTATGACATGACATATACTCTGAAGCGAGTGGTGTTCACCACCACATTGTGCACATTTTTGTCTTTTAGTACAGGTGTGTTCTTCTTTTTTTGATATTTCATCAAGACAGACTCGACAGCGTTGTAAACTAGCTTTACATTGATCACGTACATGACCTATTTTCCAGCATTTAGAGCAAAATTTCATACGGTATCCCGTTAGAGTTTGGCCACACTTTAATATGCTAGCAACAATCTTTTGTTTGATGTGTAAAACTTCGCAAAATCGATTGAACGCTTTCTATCGACTATGTTTGAGAACGGTTTTTTTGTCTTTTTGGCTGTTCAACTCTCTATCTGCATGAACTTTTCATGTTACCAACACTTGAGAAGAAACTTCAGAAATGTCTAATGAAAAGACTGAAGAACATTCAGATATATGAGCCTGAATTTTTAGAAATTGTATTAGCAAACAAGAATGTTGTAAATGCAATCTCCTGTCACTATCAGGAAAAAAGATGCTGCNATCAAATATCGTTAGTGTTTTTCTCATAACCTTTGAACGAATCGAGATAAAAATTTTCACCTTCCGTAGATTTGTAGAACTTGTGTTGGCGGTTCTAGTCCACTCCTCAAACTTTAAAATTGATCCTATCTTCATAGAGCAATAGGTTACCTTTTCAAGGGGACTATGGATCACTAGTTATTAATGAAATGAATCTCAATAATTATATATAGATAGATGCGCCAGATGTATCTCTTTCCAACGGTGAAAACCGCAGCTTTCTATCTTGTACCTATCAAAAGTTATTGAAAAAATACCCACCTGTCGCCTTCTTTTTGGAATGGAAAGTAGTAAGGAAATTGGTCGGGTTTCATCGCATTTTGGAACACCTGTTTTTAATTTATTTAGAGCTACTATTTTTGCTAATTTTCATACGTCAGGATATTTGAATTCGTTTAATCACTGGTTGAAACAGTTAACAAGACATTCGGTATAGTTCGGAGGAAGTCTCTTGATCATATAATTCGAAATTTGATCAAAAACTGCTGACTGTTTTGGTTTAAGAGACCGAATCAATCGTCTAATCTCTTCAATGCTTGTTTTCTCCATTTTTTCGCTAGAACTTCATAAAATCCCGATATTTCATTGCATTCATTGTCGACTTTCACTTTATTTGCATTTGAATAATCGATCAAGGATATCTTGAATTTTTCACTATAACGCTTATGTAACTCTTTCGTAATTTCGTCGTGCTCAGATAGTACTTTATTGCCGTTCGCTCAGTAATTTATAAAATAATAGTTCTCGTGTTTTATCAAAATACTAGACAAAGAAGTCCAAAACATTTTATCTTTCTTATCGTGTGTCTGTTGAATTTTTACTAAAAAATATTGCCATTAAGTCGCTTTATATTTTCCTATCTCATTTTTTATTTCTCTTGACATGACCCGTAGAAGTACTCTTGTTTCTTTACTCAAAATGCCTCTTTGACGCAAATGATAATATTTATTCCTTATTTTTCTTATTTCTATTAATTTCTCGATTATATGATAAGGTAATGTTGGTTTGTACTTCTCTCTTTTCCGTCCATTTCGTTACTCTGTTTTTAACAGCTGCTATGCAACATACGTGCTGACAATATCATTGATCGATTGTTGTTCTTTCTGTTCTTCTATCCAGAATGTTTGGAGTAGAACTAAAATAGCCTCAAAGACTGTCCAGTTTGTATGAGAGAAAGTACTTTTCATATCGAAAAAAATATTTTCACATATTAGAACAATAGACCAATGATCACTAATGCCGTAGAGCAATGTTCCATATGAAATAGTTATCATATTTAAGAAGGATAAATCTATATTACGCATCGAGCGCTTTGATGAATGTGATATCGACGGAATGTACTTGAGATTATTTTCTTCAATCCAATCATTCAGTACTAGCCCTCTCTTATCTCTCATAGGATTGTTCCATTCTCTCACTGTTGTATTAAAATCACCAGTGAGAATGATACCTTCTACTATAAATGGAATAATGTCGTCCAGATTACGTTTTTGACTTTTTGTCCAATAAGTTCCTATGATACGTACTGGCTCCGAGAGTCCTGTACGTAATATCAATAACTACTGTATTTGGCACATCTGTCTCGATGCATGATGCATTTAGATGTTTTCCTAATGCTATACGAACACCACCACTGTGAGTAGTACTCTTTTGAAAAAATATGTTGAAATGTGGTAGTTTGTTTGTGTTCCACAGCTCACTCACTTCAGTGAATATACATATGGATGCTTCTATTTTGTATACTAATTCAATGACTTCAAGAGCCCGTATACCCCACCCTTCTACATTATAACATATCACTTTTACAGGCACATTAATACTGCTATGTATAATTTTACTATTATTTTCCCATTGATTTAGTACTGAATTCAAGGATAGATTGGAATACCACTTATTTAAGATCTCAAACACTAATTTTTGATCATTCATTGAAAAATTCCATTGTTTTAACTGGTACAATGCTTGTTCTCTACTGGGTTATCGAAATGTGCATTTTTAGAGAGAAAGGGATGCGCATGCGGATTCAAGCATAGTATTAAAAATACTTATGATTGTTTCACGTTTGGTACCTTGCCACTATTTATTTCTTCAGCTGTTGATGATGATGTATTTTGCATAGGCAACGATTCTGCACGTTTACGTCTTATTTCATAGTCCTTGCATAAATTAGTTTTTAATTCAGGCAATTTATCAAAGATAGATTGTAGATCTAATGCAGAACTCAGTAACGCCAGATTAGCTTCTTGCGTCACCGGCCAGATAGTATGTTGAATGAGTAGACGAACATGTTCTATCAATTTGACTATTGTAGTTTTGTGTAGTTCTGTATCTAGAGCTGTCTGATTCAATTTGATATCTATCTTTTCGAGTTTTTCTTCTATTCTTCTAATACTGTCACGCATAGCGACCAGATTTACATTTATTAGAAGAAATGCTTTTGAACCGAGCTAATCATCAGTACGTACTTCTGTTTATACATGATTCCATGTTGCTTGTCGAGGTTTTTTCAATTCTCCCAGTGGTGGAAAATCTTGATCTTTCATACTAAAAGCATGTTGTTGTTTTGTGTAATCACTTCTATGTAGTTTGCCAGATTCCAAGGCTTTGTAAACATCTTCTTTTAGATCCGACCGATATTGTGGTATGACATGACATATACCATGAAGCGAATGGTGTTCACCATCACATTGTGCACATTTCTGTCTTTTAGTACAATTATGTTCTTCTTCTTTTTGATATTTCATCAAGACAGACTCGATAGCGTTGTAACCTAGCTTTACATTGTTCACGTACATGACCTATTTTTCAGCATTTAGTGCAAAACGTCATACGGTATCCAGTTTGAAAGGGAGTGATTGTAGGCCAACGGTTACAAATCGAGATGAGACCAAGTTCACGAGCTGTATTATATTCATTTAAGTTCATTAGAGTGAATTTAAAATCGTTGGATTTCCGTTCGTATGAATAGTATATTCGTTTTTTCCTCGACTGTAGAGAGGGTCATATGAAATAAAATGCGTTTATATGTATGTATGTATGTGTCAAGATCAAAAAAACATCAGAGGTGAAGTTTACTTAGGCGTAACTTCTAAAGTTTCACTACAGGTAATTGAGGTCGGGAAATTCGAATCTGAGATCGGATTTTACATCCAGCCTTCCCATTGTCTAGGAAGCCGACCAATCAGAAATGAGCTCTGTTATTTTAAGCTTTTTGGGCCTTTTAATGAAACTCTACAATAGGTTATCGAGGGCCAGGATACGCAATTTGAGGTCCAATTTTATATCCGATCTTCCCATTAGCTAGAAAGGCGACCAATCAGGAATGAGCTTTTCTATTTTAAGATTTTTGAGACTTTTGATGAGACTTTACTGTAGGTTATCGAGTGCCAGGATTTCGAATCTGTGGTCGCATTTTACATGTTAAAATGGTTGACGAAAGTAGATCGGACTCGAAGAATCCGAATCTGAAGTTGATGTTTCCAAATTTTGAGTTCGATTTTTTTTTGGTCAAGGAAAGGACTTTTTGAGAAAATAACGATATCTTATAAAGATTGACGAAAGGGAATAAGGATCGGAGAATCCGAATCTGAAATCGGTTTGTCAACGTTTTGAACTTGATTTTTTTCTGTCACGAAATGCGCTTTTTGAGAAAATAATGACACTTTAGAAAAGTTAACGAGCCTTAATCGACGTCCGAGCATCCAAACCTTTAGTATATTGCTGGAAGTTTGCAACTATAATTTTATCATCAAGGTATGGTTTCTTGGGGAAACAGTGAGTTTTTGGTGTACTGAACATTGAATGGTATGAAATAAAATGAGCTTGTGATCTAGCAGTGATTGAGTGAGTAACGTATTCAGGTGTGTTAGCGAGATTACAGACTCGACAATCTCACTAACGTGAACTATATCTGACGTTTTTTCATGGTGTGGGTATGGAGTTTGTGTGTGAGGCAGAGCAAGATCAATCCACTCAGGCACATACTTACACCAACACCGACATCCGCACCAAAAAGTATCCATAATATCCGAATTCAAGTTTAAGCCAATTCGGCATGATCGGTATCTAAGTCTGCTGGCATTGCGTTTTTTTCTGGCTTACTGTTCCATTATTCGCATTTGTTTTTCAGCCGAAGTTCTGACTCAAGGAATTTTTCGCCACTATGACTCGAAGAAGGTAATATAAGCAAACATATAAAAATGATGTCACATTTTTTATGGTTAAAAGAGAATAACTAACTATTGCTTAGGTGCATTCAACTAAAAGAGCGACTAGTCGTGAGTGGCGTCTCGTAGGGGCGTCGACGAATGACTAGTCGCTCATATTGCAGGTTCACTGTTGATTCGCTTCAAACATGATCTATATAAACGCTAGGGTTTTTAAGAGAGTACTACACTAAGATTCTGTTAATGAGGAATTTAAGTAAACCTCTGATTGGCTAGCTAGACAATGAAATTAAAGACATAAGGAATAGTTCGCAACAAAGTTTCGGCTTCGCAATTTCTCATGGAGAATTCTCGTTTTATAATTCTAACAACTTTTGGAACTAAGTAGAATCTAGAATCAGATACGGTGTAAATCAAAGAGGATAATCTTATGCCGGAGTAGAATTGTGCATGGCAGCGGCTAGCCGCGAGTGGCGCCCCAAAGAAGCGCCGACGAGCGACTATCCGCTACTCTGCGAATTTCTCTGAAGAAATGCTTCAGATTGTTGCAATCGGTCGGATAAATGTCTGTGATCTAGATCTGGCCAATCTCAGTAGGAACCAGAACTGGCAAAAAAGACTAACAAGTTTTCTCGAATGAAATGTGAGAACAGTTATGCTGCACGTGCAGTATTTGAATAAAACATTCAACGGAAAACATCATGCAAAGCATTCAGTTCAGTTCATTTGAAGTAGATCTGAATGAAATAAAATAAGCTTTTCTGTCATCGTGTATCCGTGTCTGTGTACATTTACTCGTCTAAATTTATTCGAGTATTTTGAAATTATGTCTAATTCGATGACTAACTTTGAGTACGAGCGTCATTCAAGTGGCTTATTCTGAGTATAGATTTGATCAAATATGATTTATTTGAATCTAAAAGTTCAGCTAAACACATGTTTTTGTAGCGGACACCAGCAAATGATATTGTCGGTTGATGTGCTGGTAACTACACGGATTTTTATTAGTTTTCAAGAAGTATGATGCGTTTTCACGCTAGTGTCGTGAGTGTGCTCTCTTTGTTGATTGTCTCTCTGTATATTGAATGTAATCTCTTTTCTCGTGGCATGTGGATACTACTGCTTTAGTGTTGTTCATTTAGATTTCTGTTGGATATTATTGTGCGCGGCTCAATTTTCGATGGATGAATTTATAAGAAAACGTATCAGACAAACATGCATGTCATCGTACACAAGGACATTGATGCGAATGTCCATATTCACATCCAGACGCACCCTTTTCAAACGTTCGATACTAGTTTTGTTGAGGACTGTGGAACAGTATACAATACCGAAACAGCTGAATATTCAGTCGAGGGTCAAGCGAGTCATACAAACGAGCGTTACTTATATTATCACCTGATGCAATTGTACGTTTAATTTCTTCTTTTACTAGTTCAGGTTCCTTATCACTTGGTATGTACTGAACTACTAGAGCGAAGCAGTCAGGAATAAATTTCCGTTTAGTGATTCTAATCAGTATATTATTAACATTCGTTGACCATTTGTTTGTTGTTAATAACACCATATAATCATCTTTATTATTCACTTCCAACTTCAAACGATTGTTTGACCATCCTACTGATGAGAAGTGTTGAATGTTAACTTTTTGTTCTTTGCAATGCTTTTCAATAACATCTCTAGCCTCAAATACCGATGGATACGGTCGTGAAGTACTATATTGTTCGAACTCGATAAAGAAACAAGGCAAATTAGAAGACATGGCTTGTTTTAGTTAATCGAAATGAAGCGATTTTCGTTGTTGTTGACTAATTACTGCCGTATCTTCCATTTGCATGAGGGTACCTTTGCCTGATTTATGTTGTTTTGATGCAGAACTGATGGATCCACCACTGTCGTTAAGAGGTCGACCACGTTTCGGAGTTGATGGATTATGCTGAATATTTGTTTTAATATTTAAAATAGAAGGAATTGGCTGTTAAACTTGAATACTTTGCCCATAGCACATCTGCTGAACAGACGGTTGAGCATTACGAACTCCTGTAAATTCGATAAATTGATAGAAATCCCGCAGCATGTGAGGATTTTGTTCTAATGAACAGAGAAGACCTTCTCGCTGTTCAATATCGTTATCATCTTCATATACTGTTGGTTAAGAATAATGTTGCTGATGTTGTTCATCCATCTGGTGTTGATCGTTCACGCCTAGTTCATTTGTATTAACTTGAGCTGTACGAAAGTAATTGTTCGATCTATTCATTTCGGCTAATTGAAAATTAATTGAGGACATAAAGTCGCTCCTCCGCGCAATACGGGAGGTATTCGCGAGATACGAATACCGAAGAACATGTACGCGGACGAGCAAAAATGCGACTGCTCTGTACGAAGGCAAATGTAGAAGTGAGTTACACTTGATATATTCAAAACATGTTGTTAGTTCAATTCGAGAATGATAGAGTTAGAAAATTTTTGATTAGCCTGTGTGCCGATATTGATGTCACGCTCCACTGATCTTCTTTTCCTTTTTCTTCTCTATCCTTTCTCCATTGTTCTTTCCTATGTTAATCTCTCTCTCTCTTTTCTCTCTCGTATATAAGCGTGTGTTGTATGTGAAGAAGTGACATTCTGGATATGTGAACTAGCAAATAAACATCATTACTGAGAGTGGCGGCAAGCTACTCATCCAGTTTGTCGTTACAGCCTGTCTCTTAAGTTCTCTTATGTTCTAGCCGAATTTCGTCTGATTATTCTATAATGGTATTAATTTATTTTGTGTCTTTTTTATGTTTGTTAATAAACTAAATTATATGACAAAGAGAAAAACAAGAAAAAAACGATAATTTTCAATTCATATTAAGCTAATGAACTAGTCGAATATATAGAGAAATGAATAATTTTAAAAATATTCATAAATAAATCAGGTGAATAATAATTAGATGTTAGCTGAAATTGTAAATCTATCTATTTGAATTGATTAGTAGAAATAATATATTAATATTATAGTGTTCATCAGCTTGCAGAAAAATTGTATACAAAAGAAAAGTTTGTTTCTTTAAAAAAAAGAAAAGAAAAACGAATTTTTATATACTTGGCAAAAGTATACGACGTATTTTATGTTCAATTTTCTGAATTATATATTGATCTAGAGTAGGTGAAGATTGATAAGTAAATAATGCTTGTTTGTAATATTCTAAAGCTTGAGGAAACTGATATATTTGTGCATGAATATTGCCAATAATTAAATATGTATAAGCTAATGATAGATGTGAAAAAGTATAACGTTGACGTTGTTTGTTAAATAATGTTTTTCAAATTGAAGATTATTAATATATGATATATAAGGTATGTTTGGTATAGTAGTTGATAAAGGACGGGGGCCCATAAAAACAGGAATCGCCCCACGAACAAATTCTCATAAGAAATTTATTTTCCGATGCAGAATTTTATGGCGAATCTTTTGATGCCAAATTCAATATATTTTCGAAATCATTTGATGCCCTTCGGCCCACGCCAATTATACCCTATTTTTGCCCAGTGCAGAGCGATTATGTTTGTCAAAACATTATTTCAGAAAGCTT